GCTTTCGAAGGATTGAGAAAACCCAGCGAGCAGCATCGATGCGGGAGACAAGGTCGTCCTTGCTCTGCCCATTCGGAAGCAGCCTCGCCCCAGGGTATTTAAAGCTATCTACTTCTTCAAGATGATGGCCATTAATCCCTAGGGGTGCCTTCTCCTGGTCAGGGATGCAGTTGGAGAACAACTTTGTCTTTCCGGAATTTATGGACATGCCAACCGACATAGCGATCTCGTTTACCCACGACACTACAGACTGTAAACCATCTAAGCTTGAGGCTAGCAGCACAATGTCACCGGCGTAGTCGAGATCAGTTAGCCGGCGTCCGGGTGCAAGTTCAACACCGTCCTCGTAGTCAAGATCAGTTAGCCGGCGTCCAGGTGCAAGTTCAACACCGTCCTCTATTGTGCAGTTAGTCGGCGTCCGGGTGCAAGTTCAACACCGTCCTCTTCATGTGGGGCCTTGCCGAGAATCCAGTCAATTACGTAGTTAAACAGAATGGGCGAAAGGACGCAGCCCTGTCGGACACCGGACCGGATATCGAACGACTGAGAGAGATTGTTGTGGACCAGAACTCGTGCGGTGCTGGGCCGATAGTAGGCCTTAATCATGACAATGAGTGTGGTCCGCACTCGATCCAGTTCTATTATTCGCCGGGAGGACAGAGAGTACGGTAGATGCAGCCCAACTTTACTATCACTATAAACTAATTCAAGCGCGAGCCACCGTCCCTGCGCCCACCCGCGTTGGCAACGACAGTCGATCTGTCACAGTTAGGAAGGAAGAGTGAAATTTAATTACTGTCTTAAACTCGCCGCCGTGGGCAGGCAAAACAACTCACGGCAAAAAACGTTAATTGAGTTGAACAGCCAGGGGGAAGAAAAAGCGAGCAACAGCGAGCGGGCAGGCACACACAGTTCCAATGCCGGAAAAATCTAATTACTGGCTCTGTGGCCGGAAGTAATGAAGTTAAGATAACTCGTAGACGAAGTGGCAGACCTTACTCAGATTATTTCACTGGACATATGTTGGGGGATTTAAGGAGGATTTCAAATGGGATATAAAAGGAGGGCATTTGGGGCTTAACCATATCAGACAGAAAGAGACTGGAAAAGACTCAGCTGTCCATTGGAATGCTTTAAACAACTATTTAAATTAATTGGCGAACATACGTTTGTGTTCGATAAATTCTCGTCAGACCTGTACATTTATATGGTAATGAAATAAATAAACTATGGTGGTTGGTGGACAGATGAAGTGTTCTTGTTGTCATGGTCGGTAAAAGGGCTGATGGGAGCATTCAACGCAGGGTTTACCGCAAGAAGACGTGGTCCGGGGAATAAATCAATTTTGCTAGTTTCGTACCGTTGAACTTAAAACGCAATTTAGTACGGTGTTTGAGCAAAGGGCGAGGAGGATTTGCTCGACTGATAGCATTGAAGAGGAGCGTAAGATTGTTGAAGAAGTTTTTCAACAAAGTGGTGATCCTAGTCGATTTATCGCTAAAAACATGACTGAAAGGCCGCCAGAGCCCTCAGTATTAACAGTAGAAAAGAAACGAATATTCATCACGAGTCCCATTTCAAGGGGACGGACCAAGCGAACTTCTAAGGAGGCGCCTGAGTCAAGCCGTAACAACTACCTTCCCAGCAGCTAACGCCCATGTATTGTTCTCAACTACTCCCATCCTATACGGGGAAATCAAGGATAAACTGCCAGCTCAGACCACCTCAATGTGCATATATTCAT